CAAGAAATAAAACTCTTTAGATTCAGAGCTGTTAAACCCCTCATGTCTTTTGGTGGTGGGAGACTTAGAAACTAATTTTAGTAACTCTAAACGTATAATGAGACTGAACACAATCAGGAGAGAATAAACAGCACCTGGAAAGGCCTTTCGATGGCAAGCAAGGAGGGACCCAGAGTGCCCTCAATGCCTGTTTTCAGCAGGAAGTTACAGAATAACAACCTCCACCCTATTTCCCAAAAGATTTCTGGGTCCCAACTCCTTAAGGAAGAACTATAAGAGTAGGTAGTCAGGTCAAATTCTGAGGTGCTTGAGGAAGCTGCTGATAGATTGGCAGCCCTAAAATTTGGATGAAAACACTTGGAGGAGCTATGATTGCTGTTATGGTTATGTTATTAATCTGTTTTGTCTTTCTTTGTGTAGTTTGCAAATACGGATCCAGAAGCCTCCGAGAAATGGTTCACCAAGATACAGCCGTACTTGCTTACCTAGCTTTGTGAAACAAAGAAGGGGGAATATGTTGAGAAACATCAAGTTTACCCTGCCCCCATGGTTCCCTTGTGGAAGAGACTTTTGCTTTGTAATCAGTGGTAGGCAGGTAACAGCTGCCTACCTGTTATATTTCTGAGTTATGTGTATATGTAGAACACCTGTGTATTAACAAGAATCGCCTGTCAAAGCAAATAAATATGTGGATGAATCTCTGCTCGGGGCCTTCAGTCCTTGAGAGCTGTAAGCCCCACAGGCTGTCAGGCTGTTGATCCCCAGGACAGATCCACTCTGTTGTGCTGAGTGTCTGCCTTTCAAAACCTTCAGCCCACCTGGGTGGGGATCTCCCGGCCAAGCTGGTTCTCGGTATCCATACATTGAGGATGTTGAAACTGGAATGGATCCACTTTACCAGTCTCTCTGCTTTCATATATAGTATATATTTTACAAAAGCAGATGCTTAAACAGCTAAGCAAATAAAAATAAGGGGCAAAAGAATCTAAACATTAAAAAGTTGTTGAATAAAAAATGACTATATGACTGAATAACACAAAATTCAGGAAAGCAACACCTTGCAGAGAGAAGGGGCAAGATGGAATCAGAGAGGAACACACAAAACTAAGGTTTGAGAAAAATTATATTTTTTAAAAATGAACTGACAGATGTTCACTTTATTGATGGTTCATAAACTATGATTGTATACTCTATTCACCTTCATATATGGCACAAACTTACAACAGTACCTTTTTTAAGGTACCTATATGACACAAAAAAGTTACAGGAGTACCTTTTTTTTTTTTTGAGACGAAGTTTCACTCTTGTTACCCAGTCTGGAGTGCAATGGCGTGATCTCAGCTCACTGCAACTTCCACCTCCCAGGTTCAAGCGATTCTCCTGCCTCAGCCTCCTGAGTAGCTAGGATTACAGGCATGTGCCACCATGCTTGGCTTTTTTTTTTTTTTTTTTTTTGTATTTTTAGTAGAGATGAGGTTTTTCCATGTTTGTCAGGCTGGTCTTGAACTCCCGACCTCAGGTGATCTGCTCGCCTCTGCCTCCCAAAGTGCTGGGATCAGGTGTGAGTCACCACGCCCAGCCAGGAGTACCTTTTTTTAAGGTTAGAGATGGTTTGAGATCTTCTCTGCAAAATCCTTGCCTTGGCACGTGGGTCCCAGAGAGTCTCATTTATGTCAATAAATCATGGCTGGCTTGGAGACTGGGAGTGGGAACTGACTCACACCTCTACCTGCTTTCCTGGAAGAAAAACAGAACTAACTAAAGAAAGGAATAAACATCACAGATATATCACTCTCTGGTTTGTGATTCTTCCTTCCTTCCTTTCATCCTTTCTTTTTCCCTCCACTCTCCCTCCTTTTCTCTTTCTCTCCTCCTTTTAAGATGAAGCTGAATTTTAAGTCTCCATGAGATTTTCATCCCCCTAAGAGGAAAGGTTCAACCCTTATTCATTTTGAGGGTATTTGACAAAGAAAGGGCTTTCCTATAAAGTGTTAAAACAACCTGAGAGCAATGCAGCCCCTCTTGGGGTGCTTAAGTAGAAAAGATGTGATCCAGAGAATGTGACCCAACAGGAGGCTGAAATAAGTCAGCCATGGAGGAGACGGCCAAGAGACAGGCACAGGACATCAGAGAGCCAGGTTGCTCTGTCTCATAAATGAATGCTCACCAGAAGGACATTTATTTAAGTTTGCTGTGTGACTTCTGAGCAGCCACTACCCCTCTCTGAGTAGCAATTTCCTCTCCAGTAAATTGGAGTTAGTTACTGCCAACTGCAGGAGCCAGATAGAGAAAGTAAAGGAGCAAAGTGAGTGAGGGGAGTGGGTGAGGGCGGGAAGGGGTGTGAACTAAACAATACGCCCGCCTAATCTAACTGGAAATCGGGACTCAGCTCCAGGAAGAATGATGCCCAATTTAGCCAGAGCCTACCTTTCTTTCTGAACGACACAAAAGTCTGACATTTGAAAGTGAACTCTCCCTATTTTTCAAATGCTGACAATGAATTCTATCTAAAAAGGACAGAGAAGCAACAATCAAAGGAGAAGCAACCATAAACCCACTGTGCAGCTCCTCAATAAAGTTTTCAGGGATTCAGCTTATAAACCATCGCTTCCTATTAGATAATATCTGAAAAACCTCTGAAGCTTTAACAATCTATGTAAAAACAGTTTGAGGGTTAGGAAGATAGACTTTGGCTTCAGGAAGAACTTTGTTCAAACCAATTTCAAGCTTTTTCTCTTTCCACATGTGTGATAGCCAACAAGTTTATGAACCTCTCTAAGTTTCAGCATCCTTCCCTGATATTATGCATCTGCAAAGATGGAATGGGAAAATAGGCACAGAATGCTACCCCTAGTGTCTAGCACAGTGCTCTATAAATGACTATAATAATTCTCTGCCTTCACCACGATGTGACAATGCATACTTTTACATCTGGATGACTCTAAGCAAATAAATAATTGGATGAACTGCTGGTTGAATGTGTTCCCCAGGAATACAGCATGAAATTCCACTGGAGGAGCATCACCCAAGACACAGATGATGCAGAAAGGCTTCATGACAGTCACTGCAGGCAACAGGCTGCTCTTGAGTTCATCTCCTGAATCACTAAGTCTGAGGACCTAGAGAATTCAAACCCCTATGGGTAAAAAAATGAAACTGATGCCTACAACTAAAGTCAAATTAAATCAAAACAATTCAACATTTTATATTAAAAGCTGGTTTTTAAGTATTTCTGTCTTGTGTAGTAATTTTAGAGTTATCAAATAATTTTAAAGATAGTTCAGGAGGTTCTCATATACCCTTGACAAATTTCCCCAGTTTAAAATTTTTTTTAATTTAAAACAGGGATTTCACTATGTTGCCCAGGCTGGTCTTGAACTCCTGGACTCAAGAGTTCCTCCCACCTCAGCCTCCCAAAGTGCTGGAATTACAGGTATGAACCACCATGCCCAGCCAGTTTCCCTTCTTGTTAACGTCTTACATAATCTTAGTAAATGTGTCACAACTGAAAAGTCACATGGTGCATTATGATTAACTACATTCTAGACTTCATTACAATTTCACCTGTCTCTCCATTTATGTGCTCATTTATGATTCTGTTCCAGGATCCCATCCAAGGCATTATATTGCATTTAGTTGTAGCATCTCCTGTCTCCTCTGATGTGTCCATTTCTCAGTCTTTCCTTGGTTTTCATGAACTTGGCAGTCTTAGGGGGAAATACTGGTCAGGTATTTTGTAGAGTGTCCTCCAGTCTGGGTTTTTCTGGTGTATTTCTTATGATTAGGTTGGAGTTTGGGTTTGGGGGAAGAACACCACAAAGCCGAAACATCCTCCTCTTCACATCAATATCCAAGGTTGCATGATAGCCACATGGCTTCCTCAGTGATGTTGACCTTTATCACTTGATTAGGGTAGTATTTGACAGGTTTCACCTCTTTCAAATTCATGGGTTTTTTTCTTCTCACACTTTATTCCTTGGAAGCAAACCACTAAGTCAAGCCCACATTTTGTGGAAGGTGGGAGGAGATGAGGAAGATTAAGCAGCTCCCCCCAGAGTCAGAGTGTCTACACATATTACATGTAAGCAGCAACTGGCTGGGTGCCATGGATGCCGGGTTCTGCATCCAAGAACTTTGGGAGGCTTTTGGGAAGGATGGCTTGAGGCCAGGAGTTTGAGACTAGCCTAGGCAACTTAGCGAGACTCCATCTCTACAAAAAGTTTTAGAATTATCTGGGTATAGTGGCATGTGACTGTAGTCCCAGCTACTTGGAAGGCTGAGGCAGGAGGATGGCTTGAGGCCAGGAGTTTGAGACTAGCCTAGGCAACTTAGCGAGACTCCATCTCTACAAAAAGTTTTAGAATTATCTGGGTATAGTGGCATGTGACTGTAGTCCCAGCTACTTGGAAGGCTGAGGCAGGAGGATGGCTTGAGGCCAGGAGTTTGAGACTAGCCTAGGCAACTTAGCGAGACTCCATCTCTACAAAAAGTTTTAGAATTATCTGGGTATAGTGGCATGTGACTGTAGTCCCAGCTACTTGGAAGGCTGAGGCAGGAGGATTGCTTGAGCCCGAGAGTTTGAAGCTGCAGTAAGCCATGATTATGCCACTGCACTCTAGGCTGTGTGACATTGCAAGACCCTGCCTGAAAAAAACATGTAAGTAATAATCTTTCATTCTCGTGTGGCACTGTACCCCCACTTTAAGGAAGTGGAAATGGAGGCCCAGAACGGTTAAATGTCTTTCCCACAGTGGCTAAGTTATCTATAACAGAGCTTAGGTTCAAACCTCCATTGCTCTGCCCTCAGAGCCCATCTTTTTTCTACTGCATGGCGTGGCAGACTTCAGCAGCACTGCCCCCACCCCGCTGGCTTTGGTTATCTTTCTCGGAAACCATGAATCTTTGACGACCTCATTTTTGCCATCTCCTTCCAGTCTAAAATGATCGGTTTCTATCATCTATGGTGTGAGTTAAATCATGGACAAAAGAACAACCTGCTGACTTAGGTCTCAGATACCCTTTCTCCAAGTTTACATGGTATCTTCCAGATGCTCTAGGCTTTGTCAGAATAAAAATACCAGTAGAAAAATGAATGCCTCTGTGTTAATTGTTCCAGCAAACTCTGGCCGTAAGTGCGGTCATAAAGTAGATTAATTATCTACTGCCACAGAAAGAGTGAGCACCAAAGCCTCAATGGTTTATATAAATAAATGTGCTCCTCATGCAGCTGGGGTCACTGGGGGTCCACTGGTGGCTTTGCTGATCTTGGATGGTCTTGCTCACAGACCTGGAGGTTGGTTGGCTACCAGTTGAGGAGACTGGGATGACTTGACTCTGTCTCACGTGTCTTTCCTTCTCAGACAGGAAAGCCCAGGCACGTTTCCATGGTGAACATGTAACTGTAATGCACTGCCAGATGTGCACTGCAAGCCAATATCCCAAGACACCAGGTTACAGCAGAAAAAGAGGTTTAATCATAGGACCATCAAACAAAAAGATCTGAGGAAACCTCAGATCCATCCCTCCAAGGGATTTGGGGTGAGAATTTTTAAGGGTGTTGGAGTAGGCTGAAATGCAGAGATCATTGATTGGTGAAACAGCGCAGGGTGAAGTCCTCGGACAGAGGGATGAAAGAAGCTATATTCATACGCTGATTTTATTCCTCCCTGGGAATCTTCGAACTGGCGGGCTTCAGCTACTCCACTGGAATTCAGGACCTGAAAAACATCTTAAGTGATTCTTAACCAAAATTTATGATTCTAATGCCAGAGCTCCTGTCTATAGGAACAATGGGGATGCAAATGAATTCTTTTTTTTTTAATTTATTTTTTATTGCATTTTAGGTTTTGGGGTACATGTGCAGAACATGCAAGATAGTTGCATAGGTACACACATGGCAGTGTGTTTTGCTGCCTCCCTCCCCTTCACCCACATTTGGCATTTCTCCCCAGGCTATCCCTCCCCAGCTCCACCCCCACCCCGCTGTCCCTCCCCTATTCCCACCAATAGAACCCAGTGTGTAGTACTCCCTTCCCTGTGTCCATGTGTTCTCATTTTTCCTCAAACGCCTATGAGTGAGAATATGCGGTATTTCATTTTCTGTTCTTGTGTCAGTTTGCTGAGAATGATGTTCTCCAGATTCATCCATGTCCCTACAAATGACACAAACTCATTATTTTTGATTGCTGCATAATATTCCATGGTGTATATGTGCCACATTTTCCCAGTCCAGTCTATCATCGATGGGCATTTGGGTTGGTTCCAGTCCCTGCTCTGTTTTAAAAGAGATGATCTGCCTACTGTGGTAAACCTCCTCTGTAATGAGTCTACAAAGCACCTGTTTATAACAATGCTTGAAAAATCTTTTTAGTTGTCATAAAATAGGTATCAGATAAAACTCACCATCTTCAGCATGTTTCGGTGCACACGTCAGGGGCGTTAAGGACATCTGCAGTATAGTGCAACCATTGCCCTCCATCCAGCTCCAGGACACTTTTCATCTCACAAGATGGCAACTGTCTACATTCACAGTCACTCCCCACTGCCCCCCAGTGTCTGGAAGCCTCCATTCTACTTTCTGACTCTATGAATTTGAATGTTCAGATACTTAACCTCCCGCTGGCCTGACACAACCCACTGGCCTCCCCACCTACCATTAGCTTGTCCTTCTTCTCCACCTCGAGGCTGCTCTCTATGGCTTCTGCTCTCTTCCAGGCTTCCAGTCGGAATCTTTCCATCACTTATTTCTTCCAAGAGGTCTGTGGTCTCTCTCAGTAACATTTCTATCTGGCTTCTGAGACTCCTGTGTGTACTTGACCATTCAGTTTCCTTTCTTTTCAGTTCTTCCTGTAAATGTTTTAAAGCCTCTCAAAAAAAAAACTTTACTACAGAATAGCCAGCCAGAAAGGGAAGGCTTAGTCAATAGACATTTTATGACCACTGCAGTTTTCAGCTGGGGGAGGAGGGAATCTGAATCTCATCACAGACCATCAGCAAAACAAATTCCAGAAGTCAAGAGAACAGGAGACAGACAGCACACGGGAGCTGACAGCAGAAACCTGCCATGAGGCAGGAAAGACCTCACCTGAGTATTAACTGAAAGAGAAAGAAAGGGATCCCCAGGGGAGATCCAGAAAAGAAGAAATGTGACAAGAACTCATGAATGAATGTAAGAGTAGAGCTAAAGGATAAAAGTTTTCTGGCCGGGCGCGGTGGCTCACGCCTATAATCCCAGCACTTTGGGAGGCCAAGGCGGTGGATCACAAGGTCAAGAGATCGAGACATCCTGGTCAACATGGTGAAATCCCGTCTCTACTAAAAATACAAAAATTAGCTGGGCATGGTGGTGCGCGCCAGTAGTCCCAGCTACTCAGGAGGCTGAGGCAGGAGAATTGCTTGAACCCAGAAGGTGGAGGTTTCGGTGAGCCGAGATTGTGCCATTGCACTCCAGCCTGGGTAACAAGAGCGAAACTCCGTCTCAAAAAAAAAAAAAGAATAAAAGATTTCCAAAGTCCAAAATTACCCGCCCTGAAAACTACCTGAAATTCGTGACAAGAAATAAGTTTTGAGAAAATGGGCTGTTTAGATTGACTAAAATACAGGAAGAAACAGCTGGAAACCCGTTGTTGCAGAAAGCAGTGCTCTCAAAATGCCAAGGGCAGCACTAAAGGGCAAGGGAGCCGTGGACTTAAAGGGTCTCCACTACTGGTCAAGTTGGGACCACTTAAATATCAACATGGAATTTTTATACTTTAAATTAGAGTAACCTGAGTTTGTGAAAAGCCGTAACTCAATAATGATGAATGTAAATTCCAGGAGGGCAGAACTGGCTAACTCATCATCAATTCCTCAATGGTTACAAGTGTCTAGTCCATAAGGGGTTTTCAATAAATTTGATGAATGAATAAATACCCAAAATAAAAGTTAATACTTTTTTAACATAACCGTAACATAGAGGAAGGTTAAGTATGCCCTCTCCTTCATTTTTTGATGATTTAATAGAGTATTGATAAACACAGGTTTGTCTCCTAGTAAGTATATTTCTGTTTTTAAAGTATATTTTTGCACAGAAGTAGAAAGAAAGGTAAATACAGAGAACAATGTATAAGCCAAATAGTGTAAGGAAGAAAAGGAACTGCATCAAAATCAGCAAGAAATAATGAATACCCTGGGTCACACATGATAACCAAGTATAAACAGGGTCCAAAACTTCAATCAACACCAGAAGTCATATAAACGAACAAAGGCGAGAGTTCAAGAATGAATTCCTGAAGAGGGAGGGCAACTCACCAGCCCAGCCTGTCCCCACCCAACAGGCCCCTGGAGGGGCACAGCCCAGAGCTGCCAGCAGTGAGGATGTGCCCAGTCCTGCACGGTGCACTGTGGCAGCCACCAGCCAGCCACACGTGGCTACTAAGTCTTGAAAATGAAGCTAATGGGAATAAGAAACTGATTTTTCCATTTTACTCTAAATAATTTAAATGTAAATAGTATAAATAGCCACACAGGGCTAAGAGCTAGCAGCCTGGACTGCACAGCCTGAAAATCAGAGGACACATCGTGTGAGGGAAAGGCAACAGGTTGCAAGAAAAGAAAACCCACGTTATTCACCTAACAAAGTACAACAACAAAAAGAAGTGCATTTGCTGTGGCTTGAATTACCTTGGAAGAACTGGTCAGGATCAGAGCTATGAGAAAGAGGAGAAGAGAGGGGAAAAAAAAACAACAATAAATCTCATAACCTTTGGTGGTCTAAGGAGGTTGTTTATTTTTTCCCTTTGGATCTGGTGAGCTTTCCATACCAGCAAGGTTATCAAAATATCTCTAATCCTAGGAGATCCAGAAACAATAAAAATGAAATGACAAACACATCATGTATTTTAGAATAGGCTATGGTTGTAAATTTGGTGAAGTTTTCTAGTAGCAGAATTTGTTATAACTACAGTGTAATGTGTTTGGCTTGTTCACCAAAAAAAGCCATACCAAATTTGTAACTATAGTTCAGATTGTTTAAAATAAATTCAATTAAGGTTCATACCAATGTTTAATTTCTTACCTATCAAGTAAAGAACAAAAAGCACTCTAAGAATTGCTAGTAGAACTAAAAATAAATTAGCCAGGCATGGTGGTGGGTGCCTGTAATCCCAGCCACTCTGGAGGCTGAGGCAGGAGACTCGCTTAAACCTGGGAGGTGGAGGTTGCAGTGAACTGAGATCGAGCCCTTGCACAGTGATGGAGTGAGACTCTGTCTAAAAAAAAAAAAAAAACTGAAATTGATATGTATCAATGTACATATCTCTTAACTTCAAAATTTCACTTGTAGGAATCTGTCTCACAGATGGATATACTCCAGGAAACAAGCTACATGGGGACAGGGATTGATTTATTTTGTTCACTACCAGATTCCTAGCACATACCTGCTACACAGCAGCTACTCAGTAGCCACATGCTGAATTAATAAGTAGAAGATGATTGTGAGAGGTCATATATGCACGAAGTTATTCAGTGCAGCCCTTCTTGTATTCTCACAAATAGAAAAAGAACAGAAATACATAAGTGCTTAGGTAAGTATATTATGGCACATATTCTATACAATAATAAAACAAAGAATAAAGATGTTCTGTTAAGATACATAACGATTTTAGTAGACTTTCACTATTTAAAAAAAACACCATGGATATATATATTTATGTACTTGCTAAGAATTTCTCTGGAAAGATATGAGATTGATAATACCAGCTGCCCCAAAAGAGGTAAATTAGAATGCAAACAAATCAACTGTAAAAAGATACCCTGAGTGATCAGAAAATCGGAATATGGACTAAGTATTAGTTGGTATTAAGGAATCACTTTTTGTTATATGTGACAAAGGTATTATTATTATTATTACTATTATTATTATTATTATTTTGGACAGAGTCTCACTCTGTCACTGGAGCTGTCATGCAGAGGCATAATCTTGGCTCACTGGTTCTTTGCCTCCCAGGTTCAAGCATTTCTCCTACCTCAGCCTCCCAAGTAGCTAAAGGCATGCACCACCACACCCGGCTAATTTTTTTGTATTTTTAGTAGAGACGGGGATTTGCCATGCTGGCCAGGCCGGACTCAAACTCCTGACCTCAAGCAATCTGCCTGCCTCAGCTTCTCAACATGCTGGGATTACAGGCATAAGCCACTGTGCCCAGCTGATAATCTTATTTTTTAAAGGTGTCTTTCACAGAGAAACATACTAGACTACAGGTGAAATGAGATGTCTGGGATTTTACTTTTTAAATTCCAGATTAAAAAGGGAAAAAAGAGTAGAGGTGCCCGAGAGATGAAATTAGAAAGACAAAATGATCACTGGTGAAATATGAGAATTCATGCTATTATTCTTGCTACTTTCATGTACTTTTGAAATGTTCTATAACAATAAATTATTTTTTTTTAAAACTGAATGGGTGGCTAGGGCAAGAGTGAGGGAGAAATTTCACTACACATCCTTCTGTACCTTTTGAATGATGATATATTTATATTAACTTTTGAAATAAAAGATTAAATATTGTCAAAGTCTAACATATTAGATTTAATAAACTAAGCATTAACCAAAACATAATGGTAAGCTTCTTCCCACAAAAATAAAGAAAGAATTAAAGACCCTGAGCACCATGCTATTCAACAACTCAAGCTGGAGGTGTGCAGGTGAGATTGCTCAAGGATGGCTACCTGAGACAGGAAGAAAGCAAAGACTGGAACTCAAAACTGCTAGTAATTAAAATACAGACTGTGGAAGGTGAGTTTGCATTTTTTGCTAGAAGCAATGGATAGCCTTTTTTTTTTTTAAAGGAGTGAAGGAGAGGAAGAAAGAGGAAGAAAAAGAGGGAGAGAAAACAGGAATGTAGCTTTATTCTAAAAATGGGTATTAATAATAGCCGATCAATATTTTGTGTATTTAAGGTGGAGAATGTATATTTTGTGTATTTAAAGTGAAGAGCTCTATAAATATTTATTAAGTTTACTTGTTCTGGATCTGAGTTCAAGTCCTGGATATCCTTATTAATTTTCTGTCTCATTGAGTCTAAATCTCTTTATGGGTCTTATGTATCTGGGTGTTAGGATCATTAGCTCTTATTGTTGCATTGATCATTTTACCACTATATCTTTGTTGCTTTGAAATCTATTTTATCAGATGCAAGAATTGCAACTCCTGCTTTTTATTTATTTATTTATTTATTTATGTTCTCCATTTGGTTGGTAAATCTTTTTCCATCCCTTTGTTTTAAGTCTTTGTGTATCTTTGGATGTGAAATGGGTCTGGATGTAGCATACCACTAGGTTTTGGCTGTATCTTTTGATTGGGGGATTTAGTCGACTTAAATTTAGGGTTACTGCCATTTGATGTTAACTTGCTATTTTATCCATTCGTTGATGTAAATTCTTCTTTATGTTGATGGTCTTTACTTTTTGGTATATTTTTAGAAAGGCTAATACTGGTTGTTCCTTTCTATGTATAATGCTTCTTTCAGAAGCTCTTGTAAAGCAGGCCTGGTGATAATAAAATCTCTGAGTACTTGCTTGTTCATAAAAGATTTTATTTTTCCTTCAGTTGTGAAGCTTAGTTTGGCAGGATATGAAATTCTGGGCTGAAAGTTCTGTTCTTTAAGGATGTTGAATATTAGCCCCCACTCTCTTCTAGCTTGTAGGGTTTCTGCTGAGAGATCTGCTGTAAGTCTAATAGGCTTCCCTTTGTGGGTAACTTTACCTTTCTCTCTGGTTGCCCTTAGTATTTTCTCCTTTGTTTCAACCCTGGTGAATCTACCAATTATGTGCCTTGGAGTTGCTCTTCTTGAGGAATATCTTTGTGGTGTTCTCTGTATTACCTGGGGTTGAATACTGTCCTGCTTTGCTAGATTGGGAAAATTTTCCTGAATAATATCCTGAAGAGTATTTTCCAGCTTGGAATCATTCTCTTCGTCGTATTCAGGTACACCTATCAAATGTAAATTAGGTCTTTTCACATAGTCCCATATTTCTTGGAGACTTTGCTCATTCCTTTTTATCCTTTTTTCTCTATTCTTGTCTTCTTGTTTTATTTCATTAAGTAGGTCTTCGACCTCTGATATACTTTCTTCTGCTTGATCAATTCGGCTATTCAAACTTGTGCAAATTTTGCTAAGTTTTTGTGTTGTGTTTTTCAACTCCGTTAATTCATTTATATTCCTCTATATATTGTCTATTCTTATTAGCATTTTGTCAAACCTTTTTTCAAAGTTCTTAGTTTCTTTACATTGGGTTAGAACAAGTTCTTTTAACTCCCAGAAGTTTCTCATCATCCACCTTCTGAAGCCTACTTCTGTTAATGGCACACAGTCCTTTTCCATCTGGGCTTCTTCCGTTGCTGATGAGGAACTATAATCCCCTGTAGAGGGAGAGGGGTTCTGATTTTGGGTATTCTCAGCCTTTTTAGGCTGGTTTCTTCCCTTTGTTATAAATTTACCCATCTGTCATCTTTACGATTACCACCTTTCTAGTTGGGTTTCTGAGTGGATGCCCAGTTTATTGATTCCCAGTGCTGGAATCTGAGCAACCCACTGCGCCAGCCAAAACAGCAGTGATAAGACTGATAGTGCTCTTCTGCCCGGGAATCTCCTCCCGTTTACTCTGCAGGAAGAGCTGCCGTGCCATCGCGCTGGCGACCCGTGGGGCCCCTCCACTGGGAATCTGCTGGTCCGTGAGTGACAAAAATTCATCTGAAAGTGTGGTGTCCTCTCATTCTCTGCACTTTCACTGGGAGTTACAATCCCGAGCTGTTAGTGATCAGCCATCTTGGATCTCCTAATTCTTTGTTGATGGATAGCCATTTTCAGTTCCTCTTTTGATAAGTTTTAACTTTGAAGAAGTCCAATATATCCATTTTTTCTTTTATAGTTAGTTGTATATTTTCTTAGAAATCTTTGCATATGCCAATGTCATAAATAATTTCACCTTTTTTTTTTAGAAGGCTTATAGTTTTAGCAAGAACTGCATGAGTTCTTTTTTAACTGCTATATCCTTCTGATCATGTCCATTTCTAACTATGAAATGAACAGGACTGATAATCTGGCCTATCAGTTTCTGAGTTTTGGAATTAAACACCTGGTTATTTACAGCTGTAAGTTATGATAAATGATCAGAACTAACAGTATTTGGTGTGTGGCAGGTCAAAAAGATTAACACAACATTATGCTGGTGAATTTCCAACTCCTGGCTTGTTCATTCATCCATGACATTAGCATGGTCTTTTCTAGGAAGTCTTTACTAGTAAGAAAAGAACTGATACATATTTTACCCTTTAAAAGTCAGACTACAAAATATATTCCTGACACACTGTCTCAGACAGATTATTTGTTGAAAGAATCAATAATGGATTGATACATAGTTTTGCTTTGACATATGAAATAACTCTAATGAGATTCTTATAATATTGTCAACTTTACTAACTTACATGACTATAACATAAAGAACTAGCATTCCTGTATTTCTTCCCATTCCTTTTTATCTGGAGAAGCTCTTGCAGCTGTAGTATACTTCTCAAAAATTTTACATTCCTTTTGAAGCTTCCTCATTTCCTCCTTCTTAAACTCTTCTATTCAAGCTAATTCTTTTGCTTTCTGTTGTTCAAAGTCTGCAATTTCTTTCCTAAAATGACCAAACTATGTTTTCACCTAAGGAGACCATCTCAGTGCAGTGATGTGCAGAACCTGTTGACAGGCTGGTAACTGCCAGTCCTAGTGAATTCATCTTCAGTCCATAGGCCTGAAATAACAGCCAATCCACTCACCAAAGCATTCATCCAACAAGCCTTCACTGGGTGCCTATGATGAATCAGGCATTCTACATGGTAGTGAGGAAACCACAGTGAAAAAAACTGGCCGGGCACAGTGGCTGACACCTGTAAGTCCAGCATTTTGGGAGCCCAAGGTGGGCAGATCACGAGGTCAGGAGTTCAAGACCAGCCTGACCAATGTGGTAAAACCCCATCTCTACTTAAAAAAAAAAAAAAAAAATTAGCCAGGCATGGTGGTGCACACCTGTAATCCCAGCTACTCAGGAGGCTGAGGCAGGAGGATCGCTTGAACCCAGGAGGTAGAGATTGCAGTGAGCAGAGATTGTGTCACCACGCTCCAGCCTGGGTGACAGATTGAGACTTCTTCCAAAAAAAAAAAAAAACCTAGCTAGCTGGGCACAGTGGCTCAAGCCTGTAACACCAACATGGGGAGGCCAAGGCAAGCTTGAGCCCAGGAGCTCAAGATATTCCTACTGGCTAAATATTCAAAATGTCTACAGGGTACACACAATTCTACAGTCAAAGCAAAAACTGGGGGAGAATACTTGTGGCACATTAAACCACCTAGTTGGTGATACATTGTTACAGCAGCCCAGAGAAACCAATACAGTAACTAACAAAGTGCCATTTAATCCATAGCTTCACACTTTTTTTCAAATTTCAATTTATGACCTCTCCACTAAGAAAATTTTCCTTTTGACATATCATTGACTACATTGGGTCATTTTATTCAGTAAAAAAAAATCTTATGTGATAAGGATTTCACCTCCTTTTCAGTTATATTTGCTGGATTAAAAATGTTTCAGATTGCTTACAGACGGTCTTAAAGATAAAACTGAATTACTGCATCTGGATTACAGCAACATCACTCCAGTCTCTGCCTCTGAATGTGAGCCACAAGGCTAGAGGAATGAGGCAAGTTATACTTCTCTGTCATATTAAAAATGCATAGGAAGCTGGGCGCAGTGGCTCACGCCTGTAATCCCAGCACTTTGGGAGGCCGAGGTGGGTGGGTGGATCATGAGGTCGAGAAATCGAGACCATCTTGGCCATCATGGTGAAACCCCGTCTCCACTAAAAATACAAAAAAATGAGCTGGGCGTGGTGGCACGCACCTGTAGTCCCAGGTACTCGGGAGGCTGAGGCAGGAGAATTGCTTGAACCCGGGAGGCTGAGGCAGGAGAATTGCTTGAACCCGGGAGGCAGAGGTTGCAGTGAGCCAAGGTCACACCACTGCACTCCAGCCTGGCGCCTGGTGACTGAGTGAGACTCTGTCTCAAAAAAAAAAAAGCAGCATAGGAAAAATGACTGGAAGGAACTTCCCAAAATGACATAGCAGTCACTTTGGGGTAGTTAAGTTGTAAATATTTTTGCTTCTATACTTTTTAAACTTCCAAACTTTCTGCAAAAAAAAAAAATATTACTTTTAAAATCAGAATTTTTGAAAAATAACATTATAATTTCTATTTTAAAGCACCTATGATCTCCAAGGTGGTCAGAGTTTACAATATAATGGAAAGGACTCTTTCAATGCTGGTTTTAAAAATCCATTAAATCAAGTGAAATAGTACACATCCATTAAATGGAATGAGATAGATGGGTATATGCATTAGAACAATCTTCAAAATTTATCATAAGCAAGGTACAGGACAGGATGCAAAAAGCATCTTTTCATTTGTATAGAAAGGTAATTATATACCCATGCACACATATGCCTTTATATGCATGGACTCTTTAGAATACACAAATGAAATGGTAATGCTGGTACTTCTAGGAAGGGGGACTTGGAACAGGTCTCAGGGAAAAAAAGAAACTTAGAAGCTTTGATGTTATCTCGCTTTATTAAAAAGTAATTAATTTTAAAGCCTTAGAAAAGTCAAATTTAAGTTTAAGTTTGAAAAATCTGAAAGGACAATTCATCTGAATCTCTTATACTAGTGACTATTACATTATATGGATCCACAAAATAAATCAAATTTTTACAAATCACCCAGCAATTTGACTTCTATTGAGCAATAAGGAAAGTTAGGATTTTAAGCATTCTGACAGCATTGATAAATGTTAAATTTCTCACATTCTGATACATATTTTATAAGGCTCTGACTCACCAGGTGGTTGGTCTTGACTTATGTTTAACTTGGGTTCACTTCCCAAGTGTGAATCTGACTTTGGTTTTGGTTTCAAGGCTGATTGCTACATCTTGGGATTGCAGCTCCCAGTGAAAGCACAGAGAACAAGAGGATGCCACACTTTCAGACAAATTTTTGTTGCTCACAGAGCAGAAGATTCCCAGTGGAGGAGCTCCACGGGTCACCAGCGCGACTCTTGTGGCCGGTGCAGTGGTTTTGCCGGCACCTCAGCGCGGCAGCTCTTGGTGCAGAGTAAACAGGACTGGTTCCCCTTCTGACTGACTTTTAGAGCTCCAGGAAGGCAGAGTCGCCTATTGCTGACTCAAGAAGGAAGCCAGACTGGAGATTCTGGGGCAGAAAAGCACCATCAGTCTTAACGTCACTGTTTTGGCCAGTGCAGTGGGTTGTTCATATTTTGGCCCTGGGAATTAACAACTTGGACGTCCACTCAGAGACCTAATTTGAAAGTTGGTAATTACAAAGACAACAGGTGGATAAATTTACAATGATGGGAATAAACCAGTGTAAAAAGGCTGAGAATACTCAAAATCAGAATGCCTCTCCCTCTAAAGAGGATGACAGTTCCTCATCAACAAGGGAACAAGGCTTGATGGAGAAAGAGTGCATCCCATTAACAGAATCAGGCTTCAGAAGATGGATAATAAGAAACTTCTGTGAGTTAAAAGAACATGTTGTAGCCCAATGTAAAGAACTTTGAAAAAAGGTTTGATGAAATCCTAATGAGAATAGACAATTTAGAGAGGAATATAAGTGAATTAATGGAACTGAAGAATACAATATGGGAATGCCAAGAAGTATGCACAGGTTTAAACACTCGAATTGATCAAGCAGAAGAAAGGATATCAGAGGTCGAAGACCAACTTAATGAAATAGAACGAGAAGACAAGATCAGAGAAAAAAGGATAAAAAGGAATGAGCAAAGTCTCCAAGAAATATGGGACTATGTGAAAAGACCTAATTTACGTTTGATAGGTGTACCTGAATGCGACAGAGAGAATGAATCCAAGCTAGATAATATTCTTCAGGATATTATTCAGGAAAATTTTCCCAACCTAGCAAAGCAGTACAATATTCAACCCCAGGTAATACAGAGAACACCACAAAGATATTCCTCAAGAAGAGCAACTCCAAGGCACATAATCGTTAGATTCACCAGGGTTGAAACGAAGGAGAAAATACTAAGGGCAGCCAGAGAAAAAGGTCAGGTTACCCACAGGCAAGCCTATCAGACTTACAGCAGATCTCTCAGCAGAAACCCTACAAGCCAGAAGAGAGTGGGGGCCAATATTCAACATCCTTAAAGAACAGAAATTTCAGCTCTGAATTTCATATCCAGCCAAACTAAGCTTCACAACTGAAGGAAAAATAAAATCTTTTATGAACAAGCAAGTACTCAGAGATTTTATTACCACCAGGCCTGCTTTACAAGAGCTTCTGAAAGAAGCATTACACATAGAAAGAAACAACCAGTATTAGCCTTTCTAAAAAATACCAAAAAATAAAGACCATCAACATAAAGAAGAATTTACATCAACAAATGGATAAAACAGCCAGTTAACATCAAATGGCAGTAATCCTAAATTTAAATTGACTAAATCCCCCAATCAAAAGATACAGCCAAAACCCAACGGTATGCTACATCCAGACCCATTTCACATGCAAGGATACATAAAGACTCAAAACAAAGGGATGGAGAAAGATTTACCAACCAAATGGAGAGCTAAAATAAATAAATAAATAAAAAGCAGGAGTTGCAATTATTGCATCTGATAAAATAGATTTTAAAGCAACAAAGATATAGTGGTAAAAGGATCAATGCAACAATAAGAGCTAACGATCCTAACACCCAGATGCATAGAGACTTAGACTCCATGAGACAGAAAATTAGTAAGGATATCCTGGACTCGAACTCAGATCCAGAAGAAGTAAACTTAATAAATATTTATAGAGCTCTCCACTTTAAATATACAAAATATACATTCTTGTCAATACCACATCACACCTACTCATAGGTTTAAGTGAAATATTGACTGGCCATTATTAATACCCATTTTTTAGAATAAAGTAACATTTCCATTCTCCCTCTTTTTCTTCCTCTTTCTTCCTCTCCTTCACTCCTTTTTTTTCTTTCCTTCTCTCAAAAAAAAAAATAAAAGAAAGGTGCTCTGAGAATGGGGACCCAGGGAGCCCTTTGATTCTGTCCCCTACCCTTTGATTCTGTCCCCTACCCTTCAAGGAAAATAAATTAAAGAAAAATAAAAATTAAAAAAAAAAGAATTTCATCATCAGCTCTGATGTAGGAGGAGGAGTTCTGCTCCTCCTAGATTTGCTCAAGTCTTCTCCCTTCTTGACTGGTGCAATCTTCCTTCTTACTGTTTTGTCCAGGATGCCTACTTCATTATTAAGGTAGCACGTCTGCGGAGTCCCGTAACTAGATTCATTCCCAAGAATAACATCCTGATTACACAAATTCTCCTCAAGTCAGTCCAAGTTCTTTCATCATCAAAGTCCATTTTACTCATAGTTAGCGATGAGGATCTTGAGGGCTCAGACACTTGATGTTTGCTGCTTTCTATGATAGACTCATCGCTACTGTAATCTTTATCAGACAAATCCAGATCAACATCTCTCCTTTTATCTTCTTGAGTCCCGGTGTCCCTAAAAGGCCCCTTACCATCACAGACTTGTGGGCTATCCTCTTTGCTGCTGAAGCCCCTTTCTCTATCCTCAGTCGATGGTTTTATGGTAACATCAAGCTGCTCCTCAGAGGCAGTGCTACTGTCACTGTTCATAACACCTTCATTGTCACCTGCAATCCATTCAGTTTGATTTTCAGAAGTGCTCTTTTGGAAGGCTTTCCTAATGATTTTACAAGGCTGTTCCCTCGATTCATCAGCTGAGGACAATGAACGGTTTTGTTTGGGTGTGACCTCACACTCACACTGCACACTCTCACGTGCAGCGTGGTCCAAATCCTCACTGCAGTTACACTGACCAACGGAACCTGCCAGATTTGTCTTCTGCGGCACAGCTTTGACAGGGGTGGAAGACATCCGGTGACCTTTGCGGATCTGTTGATCCCTTTCTAAGATTTTCGGTACAAATGAGGAATTACTAGAAAATGATATTTCACCAGCAGCTTGTTCTAAAAACAAAAAATCATCCAACTCCAAATATTCCTTTTCCTTTTCTCGTTCCCACGTCTTTAACGTTTTCTGAAGAGAAACGTCAAGAGAAGATTCCGAGTCTTTCACGGTCTCCCTGACAAGGCTCTTAGAAGCCAGGCAGCGGGCCGGCCCTGATGAAAGAGGATGTCTGTCTTTATCTGATGTCTTATTCCACCCTGTACAGCCGGTATCACAAGGTTTTGGACACTCAGGTACATTTTCTTTATTATTAGATGTAACATTTTTTTCAAATTTGATCTGGTCTCTAAACTGCTCATCACATTTCTTCCCTGTCTGTATTTTCAGTCCTGATGGAGACAGACTTTTCCTGTTATTACACTTCAGCACTTTTGGCTTCTGATTGATGGTGACAGATCCCCTCTTGGTTCTAGCTTTGTTGTCCTTTTTAAAGGTAAGGTTCTCTGCACACGGTTCTTTATTTATAAGAGCAGTTTTCCACTGAAGTTGCTGTCTATTCTTTTTTTTTTTTTTGAGATGGAGTCTCACTCTATCATCCATGCTGGAATGCAGTTGCGCATTCTCTGCTAACTGCAACCTCCGACGCCCTTGTTCGATTGATTCTCCTGCCTCAGCCTCCCAGAGGAACTGGGATTACAGGCACACGCCACCACGCCCAGCTAATTTTTGTATGTTTAGTAGAGACAGGGTTTCACCATGTTGGCCAGGCTGGTCTCGAACTCCTGATCTTGTGATCCACCTGCCTCAGCCTCCCAAAGTGCTGGTACTACAGGCGTGAGCCACCGCGCCTGGTCTGCTGTCTATCCATTTTAAATAGAGGCTGATCCTCAAAAGTGCTCTAATCAACCTATTTAAAAGATAAAATACTTTATCTTTGCCATATTTTAAAATTCTATAACTTATCTAATTATGCAATCATAATTGATAAGTGACCAAATGGGAGATCCCAATACTTAATTTTTCCCTTCTCCAAAAATAGGATTTAACTATTTGAGAGAAGACTGATTTTATTCAGATGTTTCTCTTAAGTGAAAAGCTTTGGCAATACAATGTCAAAGCAACTTTAACTGACGTTATCTCCTCAACCTCGTTTGTTGTCGACAATACCTAATAGGTTGTATCTTTAACCTTATATTTAAAAGCATAGTCAAACAAAAACAAAAAAAGTATAGCTCTTTCAAACAAGGAAAGTGTTCAATAACAAAGGCCAGCTATTGTATTAAATAGCATATTTCTCATTCCTTTCAACATGAACAATAGCTTTCTTCAATATTAGCCACTTCTGAGGAATCGTCATCTCTCCCTAAATCTGTTCTATCATTTTCTCCCAATATGATAAAATACCTTCTCCTAAGATAAAAATTAGGAAGAATTTTTCTCAAGAAAAACAGATTCATGTCTTAAAACATGAGAATTTTACAAGTTACTATGCTAAAAATTTTATTAGTTAAAAATAATGTATGTCAACAATTTTACGACACTCAAGGAATTCTTTAATACGTAAGAGAAACTACGAAACTCCAATTAAGACACTTGAGGCCGGTTGTGGTGGATCAAACCTATAATCCCAGCACTCTGGGAGGCCTAGGGAGGAGAATTGCTTGAGGCCAAGAATTCGAGACTAGCCTGGCCAACATGTCCAAACCCCATCTCTACAAAATACAAAAATTAGCCGGGCATGTTGGTGTATGACTGTAATCCCAGCTAGTTGGGAGTCTAAAAGACAAGAATCACTTGAACCTGGGAGGCAGAGGCTGCAGTAAGCTGAGATGGTTCCACGGCATTCCAACCTAGGAGACAGAGCAAGACCCTGTCTCAAAAATAAAATAAAATTAAATTAAATAAAGACACTTGACATTTCTTCAAAAGGTTAATGTTATGAGAAAGAAAAAAAAACTTGTGGGCTTTTCTAATAAAAAGACTAAAGAGTTGTAAGAATCAAACAACTCATAACTTGACTGGATATGCATGAATTTAATTGGATCCTTTAAAAACAAAGCACCTTTAAAAGACATTTTGGGACAATTTGGGGAATTCCAAAATGAACTTGAATATTAAGGAATTATTAATTTCCTTAGGTATAATAATAGCACTGTGGATATACAGATGAATGTCCTTATTTTTACTTGATACATACCGAAATATTTGGAATGAAGTAACAAGATACCTCCATATTATTTTCAGTGAAATGGTTCAGCAAATTATATATAGAGGTAAAAATAAGGATATACATGTAGATATATACACACATACATTTGTACTGACAAAGTAAATACAGCAAAATATTGACTACTGAATCTAGGTGTTGGGTATATCAGTAATCACTGCAGTGGTCTTTCAACTTTTCTGGATGTTTAAAATTTTCCAAAATAAAAGGCTAGAGAAGCATATTGTGTAAAAAAGAAGAAAAATGTATTTGAGCTTTCTACACCAAGGAATTAACTCTAAATTAGGAACAAGGCATTGTGGCTGGGTGCAATGGCTCAAATCTGTGATCTCAGCACTTTGGGAAGCCAAGGCAGGCAGATCACTTGAGGCCAAGAGTTTGAGACCAGCCAGGCCAACATGGTGAAACCCCATCTCTACTAAAATTACACAAAATTATCTGGGCATGGTGGTGCATACCTGTAATCCCAGCTACTCAGGAGGCTAAGACACGAAAATCACTTGAACCCTGGAGGCAGAGGTTGCAGTGAGCTGAGAGCATGCCACTGCACACCAGGCTGGGCCAAAGATTGAGATTCTGTCTCCAAAAAAAAGCCACAGGGGACAAACACACACATACATACACACACACACACACACACACACACACACAGAGAGAGAGAGAAAGGTCTTATCTTAGGACAACTTAGTAGAGAAATAGTTTATGTTTCTCTCTTATCTACGAGTTAAGTAGAAAAGAGAGAAACATAAGTCGCTCACCTGTAGGATGGTTACGGTTTTCTTCTTTTGAATCATTTTTTTTCCACAGGTGCTTCTTGATACTGTGCCTCAGAAAATAAATTAGAAGAAGCACTTTTTGAAGTTAAGACAAAATCTTCAATCTACAGAAGTTGCCTTGCTCATGGGATAAAATGTTGGAGGCATATGTTTCTTCCTGTGCTGGGTCTGGGTAGGAGTATGATGCTTCTTCTAATTTATTTTCTGAGGCACAGTATCAAGAAGCACCTGTGGATGGTTCTTCAAGAATTCTATAGGTTTTTATGATACATTTTTTTTAAATGGGATGACTCTATCACTCAGACTGGAGGGCAGTAGCACAATTACAACTCACTGTAGCCTCAACCTCCAGGTCGCAAGTGGTCCTCCCACCTCAGCCTCCTAGCTAGCTGAGCATGTACTCCACACCTGCCTAATTTTTGTATTTTTTGTAGAGATCGGGTTTCGCCATGTTGCCCAGCTTGGTCTTGAACTCCTGAACTCAAGCAATCCACTTGCCTCAGCCTCCCAAAGTGCTGAGATTATAGGCATGAGTCACTGCACCTGGCCTCTCCATCATTTCTGCAGGATAGTTTTGACAGATATAGAATTCATGGTTACCAGTTTGTTTGTTTTCTTTCAGCACTTTATATCACTCCACTGCCTTCTGGCTTCCATGGTAATAGATTGGCTGTTAATCTTATGGAAGGTCCTTTGTATGTAGTGATCATTCTGTCTAGCTGCTTTTAAGCCTCTCTGTCTTTGGCTTCTAACCATTTGATTATTAATGTAATGCTATTGGGGACTCTTTGAATTTATCATACTTAAAGTTCATGGAGCTTCTTGGAAGTGTTACATTATGTCATTTATCAAATTGGAGACTTTGGAGCACTGTTTCTTCAGATACTCTTCCTGCCCCTTTTACTCTCTTATTTCTTTCTGGGACTCCCATTGTGTGTATGCTGGTACACTTGATGGTAGCCACAAATCTTTTGGACTTTGATCTTTATTCTGTTACTTTATGCTCCTCAGACTTAATAATTTCAATTGTTTTATCTTCCTTCTTTTACCTGCTTAAATCTACTGTTGAGCATCACTTGTGAATTTTTCATTTAAGTTATTGTACTTTTGTTCTTTTTCTTTTCTTTTTTTAGAGACAAGGTGTTGCTCTGTCGCCCAGGCTGGAGTACAGGAGTGCAATCATAGCTCACTGCAGCTGTGAACTCCTGGGCTCAAGAGATCCTGCTGCCTTAGCCTCCTGAGTAGCTAGGACCACAGGCATGTACCACCAGTTAATTTTGTAATTTTTCTGTAGAGATGGGGTCTCGCTATGTTGCCAGGGCAAACTCTTGGCCTCAAGCAATCCTCCCGCCTTGGCCTCCCAAGGTGCTATGTTTACAGGCATGAGCCACCATGCCTCATCCTATTGTGCTTTTTAACTACACAATTTCCCTTTGGTTCTTTTTAGTGCCAAAGTTTCTGTTTGGTTCCTTTTATAATTTCTATCTCTTTATTAATATTCTTTGTTTTTTAAATAACTTCATTTTAGATTCAGAGGGTACACTGCAGGTTTGTTATCTAAGTATAATTCATGGTGCTGAGGTTTGGGGTATGATTGAGCCCCTCACCCAGGTACTGAGCACAGTACCCAATAGTTTTTCAATCCTTAGCCCCCTCTCTCCCTCCCTCCCCATCTAGTAGTCCCCAGTGTCTGTTGTTGCAATCTTTATGTCCATGAGTACTCAGTGTTTAGCTCCCACTTACAAATGACAACACGCAGTATTTGGTTTTTCTGTTCCTTCATTAACTCACTTAGGACAATGGCCTCCATTTGCATCCATATTGCTTTAAAGGACATGATTTCATTCTTTTTATAGCTTCATAGTATCCCATGGTGCATATGTACCACATTTTCTTTATCCAATCCATTGGTTTTTTGTGTTTTGTTTTTGAGACAGAGTTTTGCTGTTGTTACCTAGACTGGAGTACAATGGCACGATCTCGGCTCATTGCAACCTCCGCCTTCTGGGTTCAAGCAATTCTCCTGCCTCAGCCTCCCAAGTAGCTGGGACTACACGCACACACCACCATGCCCAGCTAATTTTTGTATTTTTAGTAGAGACGGGGTTTCACCTTGTTGACCAGGTTGGTCTCGATCTCTTGACCTCGTGATCCACTCACCTCAGCCTCCCAAAGTGCTGGGATTATAGGTGTGAGCCACCACTCCCAGCCTATCCAATCCATTGTTGATGGGCACCTAGGTTGATTCCGTGTTTTTATTGTGAATACTGCTGTCATGAACATACTAGTGCACGTGTATTTTTGGTAGAATGAGTTCTTTTCTTTTGGATGTGTGCCCAGTAATGGGATTCCTGGGTCGAATGGCAATTCTGTTTTCAGCTCTTTGAGAAGTCTCCAAACTGCTTTCCACAGTGGTTGAACTAATTTACATTCTCACCGACAGTGTATAAGCATTTCCTTTTCAATGCAGCCTTGCCAGCATCTGTTGTTTCTTGACTGTTTAATAATAACTGTTCTGACTGGTGTAAGATGGTATCTCACTGTAGTTTTGATTTGCACTTCTCTGATAATTAGCTTTTTTCGTGTTTGTTGAACATTTGTACATCTTTTATTGCATATTCTCTATTTGTTGAGACATTGTTCTCCTGGTTCTTTCAGTTCTTTTTCTATATTTTCTTTCACTTTCTGTCCATATTTAAGACAGTTTATGTAAAGTATTTGTCTAATAATTCCTATGTCTGTGCATCCTCGGGGACAGTTTCTGTTCATTACTTTTTTTCCTTTGAATTGGCCATTTTTTTCTTTTTTCTTTTTCTTTTTTTCATGCCTCATAATTTTTTGTTGAAGATTGGACATTTTGAGCATTTTAATGTGGTAACTCTGGGAATCAGTTTCTCTCCTCCCCAGAATCTCTTGTTGTTTCTTACACAACCCTATAGAGTAGGTTGCAATGATGAAACTGGGTAAATTACCTTGTCCACAATCCCCTTGGTAATAAATTGTGGAGTCAGGATTCAACGCCATACCATTTCCACTCTACTCTCTACTCTATCCTTTCTAGTCTCATTTCATTCGGTATCCTAAAAATCTGAATCTTCCCCATTGCTTTACTCCCATTTCAGTGAATCTCAGATCTGTATCTCCAGGCCCCGCCTATCTTGAATGACAGATGAATATACTTCCAGCTACTTACAAACACTATCACGAATTTCAAACTCGGGGAGGCTTAAAGTAAATTTATTACTCTCCTGTTTCCCCGAATTTTCCCGAAATTTTCTTCTTTCCCGTCCTTAGGAACCCTTCAATTTCTCAGTTAAAGGACAAGACCATCCACCCACCTCTCCGAAAGCCGAGCTTTTGTATTTATCCTCACTGGCGAAATCCCTCCTGAAATATTAAACTGAAACAAATTTCTGAACCCTCGGGCTGATCTTAGAAGAGAAACCCCCGCCAGAGGCCGGGTGCCCCTCCCCACCTGGCGGACCGGCTTTCAGGCGCGTTCTGGCGACCGTCCCCGCTAGGGACGCTGCACTCGCCGGGTGCGGGGGGGTGGTTCCGGCCGCAGTGGCACCCGCCCAGCCTCCCGGTCAGGGAGAGCCTAGAATCCGGAAGCACCGAGAGCTAGCAGCGCCGAATCGGGGAGCGCCGGAAGCTGGCTGGATCCTCTGGCAGGTGCGTGGGCCCCGCGGGGTGGGGGGCCACCAAGGGTCCCTGTAGTTCTGGCCAGGAAGTGGCCCACGCTCCCTGCGCGGCGCCTTCTCTGCCGGTGGCTGCGCCCTTGTGCTGCGCGGCGCCTTCTCCGCCCGTGGCTGCGCCCTCGTCCTGCCCGGCATCGGCGCTGTAGGCCTGACCCGGCTGTGGGGCGCGGGGTGGGCGCGGTGGTGCAGCCCGCGCCCTCGGGGACGGATGTCGCGGTGGTTCCGCCTTGCCCCGCGGTGCACCCAGGTGACGAGAAACTGGGTGGGGTGGGGGGTGCCCACCGGAGCCGGCACTCACACCTGCGTCTGCGGACCCCTTGCAGTGCTCGAGAAAATGAGCGATTAGCAGTAGAAATCCGTGTTCCTTGTTTCCAGAATGCCAAACGGCTTTCTTTCCTAAAGAAAAAAGGTGGTTTGGTGAATAATCACGATTATCTTACCTTGTGAGTCACTGGGAACACAGTGATAGAAACAAAGTTGAAAACCTCTAACTCAGTTAAATAATTCCTGCGGGGAGGGCCGAATGTTTCACCCGGGGATCGAGTTGATAGATCTCAGCTTCTAGAAAACCAAGGCGCCGCTAAATATTCAAGCCCAAGCACTTTCGATTCTGGACTGCTGAATGACAATAATTATATGACAATATCCAGGCATAGTGTTATGGTAAAGTGGAAACTCGGTCTCAGTATATGCATCATTTGACTTGATCATTTATTAAATAAATATTTATTAGGTCCTGTCTGTGTGTGTAGAGCTGCTTAATGCCATGTAGGAGTGGAATCAAAGTAGTACCTTTGTTGTTTAGGGGTTTAATAATCCCATTAGGAAGGTGCATTACAGATGCCATTTGAGTCCAAAACGCAAATAGTGTCAGAAGGCTTTCTGTAATCCTGGGCTTTAGTTGATGCATGAAATAGTTTTTAGTAAGCAAGCTTTTATTGAATGTTCCCTGTATATCAAAAGTAGTCTGCGGTGACTCATTTCGGAAGGCGGAAGCTCTACAAGACTGCCCAGAAAGGGACTCCTCGGGGTTTTCCGAGAGGAGGAAATGCTAGTGAAACAAAGACCTCTGAAGCAGGAAGCCATCTGATTCCACCTTGTCAATGGTTTATAGATAGAGCAGCCAGGAGTTTGTATGGAGGCGTGCTGAGGGTGTCAGGAACTGGGGCTGTGCCCTGCTATCTTTGGATGGAAGACACTCCGTGAATGTTGTTTTGGGAAGAAGCTGGAGTGACCGTGCAGATTTGCCTTAGAGGATAACCAGTCCCTAGCCCGGTGTCTGCCACAGCTCATGTGTAGGTAATTGGCGCTGATGAAAATGTGAACTAACTCTGTGTTTAGATAACATTCTGAAACAAGGAAGAACTGGTGGCACATGTTGGTTACGTAGCTGTTAACCCAGACCGGGCCTGGCATTTTAGAGAGCATAGAGACGAATCTGGAAAGAGAGAAGTCAAGGCGTGACTTGAGATTTCACAAAACCCAAAGTGTGCCTTTCCATACCTCCCACGGAGCCGCAGGTGCTAAGAACAGCCCAGAGATTTACTCTAGGCCAGGCACCGCAGCTCAGGCCTGTAACCCCAGCACTCCGGGAGGCTGAGGCGGTAGGATCGCTTGAGCCCAGGACTTTGTGACCAGCCTGGGCAACATAGTAGACTCTGTCTGTACAAAAACTTAGCTGGGCATGATGGTGCAGGCCTGTGGTCCCAGCTACTAAGGAGGCTGAGGTGAGAGGATTGCCAGGAGTGAGATCGAGGTTGCAGTGAGCTGTAACAGTGACTGCACCACTGTACTCCAGCCTGGAAGACAGAGCCACACCATGTCTCAAATAAAATAAAATGTTTATGCTTTGATTTCATAACTATCTATATGTACTTAATGCCACTGAACTGTACACTTAAAATGGTTAAGATGGTAAATTTTACCTTCTGCACATTTTACCACAATTTTTTAAAGGCAAAAAAAATGTTTATACTCCTTGATTCTGTAATTCCACTTCTGACCATCTACTTTAAGAAAACAATGACAGAGATTTGGCCAAAAAATCTATGTACAAACATTCTATTCCAAGTGTATTTCTAATAGTGAACACTTTTAAATAATGAAGTATCTGATGACTTGGGGAAGGATGAAATCAATGCAAAGCTTATGTAACCACTAAAAATACCTTCAAAGCATATTTAGTGGCATGGGAAGCACATCATTAAAAGCTAAATAAGCTGTGAAGATTTAGTTCTATTTTTTAAAAAGTTAAATAAGAGCAACTGTCTATAGCATTAAATACAGAATATTAATTATTTAGAAAATAGAATGATACAAGAAAGAATAATACCAGAAAAAATTATTAAAATATCAACAGTTGGGGCTGGGTGTGGCAGCTCATGCCTGTAATCCCAGCACTTTGGGAGGCAAAGGTGGGTGGATAACGTGAGCTCAGAAGTTGGAGACCATCCTGGCCAACATGGTGAAACCCTGTCTCTATTAAAAGTACAAAAATTAGCTGGATGTGGTGGCATGTGCCTGTAGTCCCAGCTACTCAGAGGCTGAGGCATGAGATTGCTTGAACCTGGGAGGCAGAAGGTTGCGATGAGCTAAGGTTGTGCCACTACACTCCAGCCTGGGTGACAGAGCAAGACTGGCTCAAGAAACAAACAAAAATCAACATGTTTTTTAAAAACAACTTTATTGACCATAATATGTACAACTATTATGTATCAAAAAAATGCTATTTAAAAAATATATTGGGGTACAATTTACATACCATTAAATTTAATGAGTTTAATTATACAATTCAATAATTTATATATTTTTTATTGCACTTTAGGTTTTGGGGTACATGTGAAGAACATGCAGGATTGTTGCATAGGTACATACATGGCAATG